TCTTTCCAGTCTTCTCTCAAATCCCTGCTATTGTCCAGCTCTGTGCTAGGCACCATGAATACAAAGTTAAAAAGGCAGTCGCCCTCAAACAAGGAAACAAACAAGTACATTATGATAAAGGCTTTAAAGGAGGGATATATAATCCACATGGAGTTCTACACGTAAGAAAGGCTTCCTGGAAAACACAGGGCAGGAACTGACACTTCACATGAACAGGGATACCAACATAAAACAGAAGAGCATTCCAGACAGAGGAAACAGCATCTAACATAAAGGTATATGAGAAAAGTGTACTAATATACTACAAATAATTCCTTTCCTTCTCACAAGAAGTCCATACAAGAATACGGTCAGGAATTGAATGCAGGTTCCCTCCAAGTAACACAAATAGTGTTCCAATTTGAAGCCTTGGAAATGGCAATTTTCAGACTCAAATCAAGCTAAGTATTTCTTCCATTCATTCCCTGCTCCCCTTTGTTCACATTACCACAGTCACTGTATTTTCCACGTATCCATCACTTTTGCCAAACTACAGTAAGGCCCTGTGGGGACACACAGGCACCCCCATACATACACCCACAGCATCTAATGAAATACGTTTTATATAGGTATTCAACAGCAGCACTGGGATAAAAGCACTGCGACTGGGGCCAGTCTACCTGTGTTCAAATCTAGACTCCACCATTGGCTAGCCGTGTGACCCTGGGCAAGGTACTTAACCTCTCTGTGCCTCAATTCCCTAATTGATAATGTGAGAATAATAATAGCACCTACTCACTGGGCTGCTGTAGAAAATGCGCTTGATTTATATAAAGTGAATAGAACAGTGCTTGACTCATATAAGCACCATATAAGCGTTTGCTATATAAAATGTGGACTTATGTATTCTCAGTTTGAAAAAACACCCAAATTGCTTTAAGTATGCACAAGACTTGCACACTGAAAATTAGAAAACTTTGCTTAAAGAGCTAAATAAATGGAAGATACATGTTCATGGATCAGAAGATTCAATATTGCTAAGATATCAATGTTGTTAAGATATCTTCTTCTGTAGAAGCTGATCTGTATTCTCAATGTAATGCCAATCAAAATCTGGGTAGGTATGTCTGCAGAATTTGTCAAACTGATTCTAAACTTTATACAAAAATCTAAACAATCTAAAACAATCAAAGCAATTTTGAGAAAGAGAGCCTAATTTCAAGATGTTAGTATAAAGCTACAGCAAACAAGGCTGTGTGCCATCAAGAAAAATGAAAGCAAATGTCTATACAAAGACTTCTATACAAATGTTCATGGTAACTGTATTCATAAAAGCCAAAAATCAGAAACAATCCAAGTCCTCATTAACAGAATGGATTAACTGTAGTATAACCATACAAAGAAATACTGGTCAACAATAAAAGAGAATAAAACACACAACAACATAGATGAATCTCAAGTAATCATGCTGAGTTAAGAAGCCAGACCAAAAAACAAAGTGCATACTGTATGATTCCATTTATATCAAATTCTAGAAAATACAACCTAATCTACAGTGACAGAAAACTGACCAGTGGTTGCCGAGGAATAGGGGGTAGGGAGGGGGAACTGAAGGCCAAGGAGCATGAGGGAACTTCTGCAGTGAGAACTGTGGCAGTGGTTACACAACTATACACATTTGCCACAACTCGTCAAACTGTACACTTAAAATTGATGAGCTTGGTTGTACATAAAGTAGGCCTCAATATAAACAAAATATAGTCATAAGGCAACACTGCCATTTAAAATTAAAGCATACCTTTCGCTTTCCATATTCATGGAAAGAATACCATTCACTTAATGTTGCTGAGAAATCTATATTACAATACGAGTTTTGTAAATGTAGCATGATGAAACAACCAAAAACACTGCTAATGGCTCTTTTATATCTGCGTCTTCTTTAACTAAGAATTAAAGGAAATCTATAAAAGAATTTTCCAATTCTTAATAGAAATACTTACTCTAGATAAAAATTCATAAACAACACAGAATTTAACTAGGAAATTTGTTAGCACGCCTGTAACTGGCCATAAGGTTATCCAAGCCTGCTAGGTTCCAGAGAATTGCAAAACAAAATATCAAGGAGTTTTTAAAAGATGAGAGAGCTCTTATGCTACCTAAAATTTAACAATGGTACTTCCCATGATTCTAATTCTACTTCTGCATAAAGAACGCTGTAAAGGTCAAGAATATAGGGACTATTCCTTAAGGCTAGAAGTAAATTAGTAGTAGGAAACACTAAGAAGACATCCCTAATCTTTATCTCATGAAGTTCTCTCAGGGGAGCACTACTTACTTGGTTAATTCTCCTGAGGAAAGATGTTTTTCTCCTCAAGTCTTAAAGAATAATAAATATTTTACTTGTTTTATAATAGTAAGCACAGTTGTTTTTTAAAAGTATATCTCCATGAAAAAAAAAAAAAGTATTTCTCCATGTTGACCCTCAAGCCTTAAAATTAAAAAAACAGAGGCGCCTGGATAGCTCAGTCATTAAGCATCTGCCTTCGCCTCAGGTCATGATCCCAGGGTCCTGGGATCGAGCCCCACATCAGGCTCCAGCCCCACATCTGGCTCCCCGCTCAGCAGGAAGCCTGCTTCTCCCTCTCCCACTCCCCCTGCTTGTGTTCCCTCTCTCACTGTGTCTCTCTCTCTCAAATAAATAAATAAAATCTTTAAAAAAAAAATTTTTAAAAACAAACCCTGTAACAGAAACAAAAAATGAGGAAATAGCCATTTACAAGGAGAAAAAAAGACAGTGTAAGCAACTTCCCCAGTTCAAATAACCACAGCAATATGTAGCATGCATATTATATAAATTTGGTTACTTCTAAGGCAATGTGCTACTTCATGTTCTAATTTACATTGTCGTAAGTTAACTGTTGTCATAAAAATTAGTTCACAGCTTAAGAAAAGATATTTGAGATGTAAATTAGGTTAACCTTTCCTTCTACAAGTAAGACTACAAGTAATAATCATGCTCAGCGTTTCCTATTCAAGATCCACACACATGCACACCTTCAGGCCTTTACAGGCTCTATTCCTCCCATTCACCCTTCTATCTACGATGCCCTCTCCTTTTATCCCACCTGTCTGGATTCTTGCCATCTTTCACCATTTATCTTAATTGGTCCACGTTCCCTGATCCCATGAGCCAGAGCTATCTTCCTGTTTTCTGAAATCCCATAGCTCTTTTCTGTAGTCTCTTACAACATTTAACATTTCCATCTTGTACTACACTTCTTTAAGCCCAGTTAACTCTCTCTCCTACTGGGAGCATCCTTGAAAGAAAGGTACATGCTTTCTTCAGCCTTGTATTCCTCATAGCACTTAGTGCCTGGAACTAAACATTTATTGGGTGTGCTGCCTAGAATGGGAAGGAAAACATTCAACAATATTTTTTTCAACACTGTGTGCCATACATTGTCGTAGGTGATATAAAAGGAAACAAATACCAATGATAGAGACCTACTGTAAATCTACTAAGAGACACAGACATGTAAATAGATTAAGCATAAGGGATGAATTAGGGTGCTATGAAGGGAACACTATGTATATTGAAGATTGTTCTAATTCCATAAAGATTGTTAGGAAACTAAGTCTAGATTTTGAAGGGCCCAATAACTAGAAAGGTTTCAAGAGTGGTATAATAAGGGTCCCTTAACTGTAATCTGAAAAAATTTCTTAATCTGAAACTAACACTCCCATCCTATGTAACAACCTTACTTCCACAGCAGGCGGAGTAACAAATTTCACTCAATTCTCTGTATAACCCTCTGAGATAACCAAGCCTGGTCTTATCTTTAAACAAATTTGCTCCTCCCATCTTCTCACATGACTGAATTGTGGGCCATTTCCATAAAATATGTACCACTTTCATGCCCCAAATTGTTTATCTAAATATACCTAACCTTTAAGGTTCTTCTCAAATTCTACTTCCTGAGCTCTCTGACACACAGGACTATGCCATCCTCCAAATGTATGTTGCACTATTACTACTATCTGTACCTCTCTTCTTTAACAACTAATGACAATGATAAAATTAATTCTTAACTTTTTATATAACTTGGAATTAAGCAGAACTCGTCTCAAATCCTAAATGTGCACCTGCCTTATGATGTAAAGTTAGTCAAGTTATGAAACTTCCTTGAACCTCAGTTTCTTCATCATTAAAATTAGGATTCAGTTGGGCAATATGTACAACATGCCTAATATACCCACATACTCATACATACATACGTCACAAACATTCCGACTTATTTTTGTTATTCTTTTCCAAGAAGGGAGATGCAAACTCTCTTTAAAACTCAAGGCAAAAGCAATAAAACATGAACAAAGTGGGTACTAAAAATTGGTTAGTTGATGTAAAGGAGCCTCACACCTTTTAAATACGCCCTCAAAACAACTCACACAAGACACTCCCAGAAGAATTTCTCCTATGTCTCCTACTACTGCAAATTATGAAAATCCCAGGCAGGCAAAAAGACACAGCCAAACAGACGGCCTAGGCTGGTGACTACAGTGACATCCTTCTCAAGAGTCTGTCTGCCTCACTACAAACCTGACACTGTATAAAAGATCAAGGGAAGAAATATCGTTTATTACATAAATCAAATAATACATGCATTAGTTTTTCGATCTACACTATCCCGGAGAAGCAAGCAAAACCATTTCTGCTGATTTCAGCCTCAGAAGAGAAAGTACTACTGGGAAAGGGTCTGAATCATCAATTTAAAACCACCAACGCCTGCCCCACCCTGGAATGAAGGCACTACCGCGACCTTCTATAGCACAGTCTCGACATTCAACACTCAGCCCCTACCCCAGTCTTCCAGAAGTCCCCACCTCCGACGCATGGCCGGCACTGGGCGCACCCAGTCCCATCCCAGGCTCTGACCCAGGGCCAGGTACCCCCACACAGGGTCCATACCCTAGTCCCTCACGCCCCAACTCTGGTTCTACGCCCGACCGACACCGGTACTCACCCGGGCGGTGACCTTATACACCGTGTAGCCCCTTGGATGTCGCTGGGGCTCGGTGACAGTGTAGAAACGGGCCAGGTCGGCACCCCGCTCCCGGGGAGAGGTCATCCTCCTGCCGCCTCTGCCGCCGCCGCCGCCGCCGGGCGGGGACCATCAGCGCAACCCGGCGCCGCCGCGGTCCGGGATCCCCAAACAGCAGCGAAGCGGCGAGGGGGCGGTGGCTCCACGGCGGCCCTTCGCGGCGCGGCTCTGCTTCCGGCTCGGCAGAGAAGCTTCCGGGTCAGGCCGCTGCCAGCGACCTGGGGGAGGGGAGGCTCCACGCTAGAAGCTGACCCGCATCCCGGCGTGGGCCTGGCAAATGGACAAGGATCAAGTGGTCGCACGGCACTCTCGTCACTGCGGAAGCTGAGACTTCTCCGCTAAGTCTCTGTGCGCTAGCTCCGACACCTTCTAGATGTTATGAGCGCTGTTAGAGCCAGGACACGCAGGTGAGACCTCGGCGCTCCACACGCTCGCCCAGCGCAGCCCGTGTACAAACTTACATGGAGTCGTGAAGGGATGGCATCTTCTTTCCTTCCTTACTCACGGCCTATCATTTTAAATACCCACAGCAACACCTGAACTCTGGCAGACACAACCGTTCCTTCTTTCTTTTTTTTTTTTTTTTTTTAAAGATTTTATTTTTTTTTTTATTTATTCATGAGAGACAGAGAGAGAGACAGAGGCAGAGGGAGAAGCAGGCTCCCCGCGGAGCAGGGAGCCCGATGCGGGACTCGATCCCAGGACCCTGGGATCGTGACCTGAGCCGAAGGCAGACGCTTAACCGACTGAGCCACCCAGGTGTCCCCCGTTCCTTCTTTCTAAGACAAATCCCGTCCACCTGTGCACCTGTCTTTCGACCTCCACAACAGCCTTCAACCCTGTATCACTCTTAAAATGCATCCCCTCGGATTCTTGGGCGCCTGGGTGGCTCAGTTGGTTAAGCGACTGCCTTCGGCTCAGGTCATGATCCTGGAGTCCCGGGATCGAGTCCCGCATCGGGCTCCCTGCTCGGCGGGGAGTCTGCTTCTGCCTCTGACCCTCCCCCCTCTCATGTGCTCTCTCTCATTCTGTCTCAAATAAATAAATAAAATCTTTAAAAATAAAAAAAAATAAAAAATAAAATAAAATGCATCCCCTCGGATTCTAAAAGCTGGAACCTGCGTCTAACTGGGAAAAAAAAAAAATCACACGACCTCTGAAAGCTACTATGAAGAGAGAGTTTCCATTCAGATGGTTGCTATCCCGTGTTTGGCAATTCCTTTACCTTTCCTTGATCAGGAATTTCGCATTTCCCATAACATTCGTTCCAAGTCTTCGCCATTTTCCTCAGTTCTCTGTTCCTCTTAGTGTTGCCCCTCGACCGTTTCTCTCCGCCCTCTTGGAGGGGAAGGAGGGAGGAGCCCTTAGTACAAACACCTTCATCTCACATACCTATTCTGATATGAGATGTAGACATATCCCTTCCTCATTTTTTAAAACTGATCACTCTGCCTGTGTGCTGAAACCCATCCCCTTTGGCAGACCTAAAGACATTGTTCCATCAGGGACATCTAAACTCTGCTTTCGGTACCTTTAAGCTCTTCCTCACCACTGACTCCTTTTTCCTAACCTGCATATGCCTGAATCTATCATTCATTAAACCTGATTTCACATACTTTGTGCCAGACATCATGCTCAGTAGGCATTGGAGTTACAAAGAGAGTCCCTGCTGTCAAGTACTATCTAGTAGGAAAAAAACAGAATAATTAAAACATACTGTTATAAGTACCATGACAAATGTATTTATGGAGTGCTGTAGAGCACATCATACTCAGAATGGAGGGTTTTCTGATAGAGGGGAAACTATATTTGAATCTTGAAAGAGAGATAGGAATTACCAGGCTGAGATGAGGGTAAAGGACATCATCACAGTTGCCTTTTTTCCTCCTCCTTTCTTTCTCCTTCCCCTCATTATCAAGATTGCTTAAATTGTTTTTAAAGTAATCTGCCTCGGGGGCGCCCGGGTGGCTCAGTTGGTTCAGCATTTGACTTCAGCTCAGGTTCATGATCTCAGGGTCCTGGGATCAAGCCCTGCATCAGGTTTTGCACTCAGCAGGGAGTCCGCTTGTCCCTCTCCCTTTGCCCCTTCCTGCTTATGCTTTCTCTCTCTCTCTCAAATAAATACATAAGAAATCTTTTTTAAAATAATCTGCATCAGTATTCACACATTTATACATTCATGAATATCACACATTAATTATCATACTCACTTCAATCTGCCCTCACTACTACACTCCTACTATGAAACTACTTTGAAAAAATTTCTAATGACCAATATTTTCAGAATTTGAACACTTCTGACCATTTCCACCTTTTCAGAAGTCCTCTATGTCCTTAGTATATGAGTCAGCATTCTCTTTGCTTTTTTTACACTCTGAATCATTCACTCCTTTTCAGTCTCCTTTGCTGATTTCTCCTCCTTTTAGGAAGATTTAGTGTTCCTTCTGTTCAGGATTTTGCCTTTGATCCTTTGTTCTTTATTCCCGTTGACTTACACATCTATATCCCCAGGCATGTCTCTCTTCTAGAATTTGACTCATGTTACCTACATCTTTACCTGTATGTCCAATTACCACTGAAAACAGAACAGACTAAAATCTGAACTTTTATTTTCCTCATGAGCCTGTTCCTATCTCAATGACTGATTTTATTCTCCACTTAGTTACATTAGCCAAGTATCTGGGAACCATGCTTAGCAACTTTCTCTCCCACGTTCTCCAAATTTGTTTGATTCAGCAATGGCCATTGGTTAAAGCTAAAAGAATGGAAACAGTATTCATAAGACTTAAGGAGACATATTACCAAGAAAAGAGAGATAAGACTTAATAACAAAGAGTTCAATGAATCAAGAAGGTATAACAATTTTAAATGTGCATGTGCCTAATAACAACTTAAAAGTGTAAAAAACAAAAGCCATTGTTCTGTCTGTTCTACAGTAATTAATGAAACAAGTAGACAAATAAATTAGTAAGGATTTGAAGACCGGAAAAGTCTATCAACCAACTCCACCTGATTGACATTTACAGAACACTCCACTCAATAGTGGCAGAACATATTTGTTTCAAGTGCACACAAGACATTCATCAAGTCAGAACATACCCTGGGCTATAAAATAACTGTCACAAATTTTAAAAGACCACTATAAGTCATATGTGCTCTGTGGCCTCTGGGAATTAAATAAAAGCTAATAACAGAAAAGTACCTGTAAAATTCATGAATTCTTAGAAAGTAAATAACATAATTCTAAAAACCCATGGGTTAAAGCCCATGACAACAGACCTTTAAAAATATTTGAAATTGAATGAAAATTGGAACATAACATACCAGAAAATTTGTGGGACACAGCTAAAACAGTGTTTAGAGGTAAATTTATAGCCTTTAAAGGCCTATAGTAGAAAAGAAGAAAGGTCATGAATCAATGATCTAAGCTTCCACCCTAAGAAATTTTAAAAAGATGATTAATATAAACCCAAAAAGAGCATGAGGAAGAAAAAAATAAAGAAGAACTCTAAAATAGAAAAGAGAAAGGCAATGGTGAACAATCAATAAAACCAAAATCTGATTCTTTAGGGGAAAAGTCTAGAAAATTTATAAACTTCTAGCCAAAGGGCTCAAGAAAAAAGAAAAACAGGGGTGCCTGGGTGGCTCAGTTGGTTAAGCATCTGCCTTCAGCTCAGGTCATGATTCCAGGGTTCTGGGATCAAGCCCCATATCGGACTCTGCTCAGCGGGGAGCCTGCTTCTCCCTCTCCCTCTACCTGCAGCTCCCTCTGCTTGTGCTCTCTCTCTCTCTCTGTCAAATGAATAAGTAAAAATCTGTTTAAAAAAAGAGAGAGAGAGAGAAAAGACAAAACAAATTATAGGTATCAAGAATGAAAAAAATACATCACAACATATCCTATAGTCATTAAAAGGAAAATGATTTCTGTAAAGAGCTGTATGCTAATAAATTTGATGACTTACATGAAATAAATGAATTTATTAAAATACACAAACTACCAAAGTTCATTAAAAAATAAAAAGAAAGGGGCGCCTGGTGGCTCAGTCATTAAGTGTCTGCCTTCGGCTCAGGTTATGGCTCCAGGGTCCTGGGATCGAGCCCCCGCATTGGGCTCCCTGCTCAACAGGAAGTCTGCTTCTCCCTCTCCCTCTCCCCTGCTTGTGTTCCCTCTCTCGCTGTGTCTCGCTCTGTCAAATAAATAAATAAAATCTTTAAAAAAAGAATAAAAAGATAACTTGAATAGCCCTATCTCTATCAAAGAACTTGAATTCTTCATTCAAAACAAAGAAAACTCCAAGCCAATGTAATTCAGTGGTGAATTCTACTAAGCATTTAAGGAAAAGAGAATATCAGTTCTACCAAAACTCATCCAAAAATAGGACAGGGAACATTTACCACTTATTTTGTGAAGTCAGCTTTACCCTGAAACAAAAACATTTCAAAAAAGAATACTGTAGGGGCACCTGGGTGGCTCAGTCAGTTAAGTGTCTGCCTTCAGCTCAGGTCATGATCCCAGGGTCCTGGGATTGAGTCCTGCATCAGACTCCTTGCTTGGCAGGGAGCCTGCTTCTCCCTCTGTCTTTTGCTCCCCCTGCTTGTGTTCTCTCTCTTTCTCTGACAAATGGATAAATAAAATCTTAAAAAAAAAAAATTTAAGGTATATAGTTAGAAAAGGAAGAAATAAATTTGCCTTTATTTGCAAAGGCCATGATCGCTACATTGAAAATCCTGAGGAATCCACAAAAAACTAATAGAACTAATAAGTAAATTTAGCAAAATCACAGGATTCAAAGTAAATATAGGAAAAGTCATTTATTTCTCTATTCTAGCAACAAAAAATGGAAAACTCAAAGGTAAAACCTTTTATGCTAAATTTAACAAAATGTGTACAAGACTACACAAAATGGAAAACATTGCTAACTGAAATTAAGAGAAAAACAAAATAAATGGAGAGAATATACTGTGTTCATGGGTTGGAAGATTCCGTATTGTTAATATGTCAGACCTCCTAAAAATGATCTAAGGCTTCAGTGCAATCCCAGTTAAAATCTCAGCAGTCTTTCTAGTAGAAATTGAAAAGCTCACTCTAAAATTTAGATAGATAAGCAAAAGACCTAGAACATCCAAAACAACTTTGAAAAAGAAAACAGTTGGAGAACTCACACTGCC